GAACTTCCTTATGTTTCCTTCCGCACCCCCCAACAAAAAAAAAACCCCAGCGCGTGATGAATAGTGTTCTCCTAAATGCATGTTTGATAAGAGCCTGTTCTAACCGAGCTAGTCGGTGCTTTCAGAACCTGGGCCTTGAATTAATTGCAAAATAATGAAGGTCTTTCATAAAATGCACATAAAAGGCGACAAATTTCCGACCAAAAAATATAAAAGGCTAAAAGGCATGACAAGTACCACTCTGCGTTAGAAATGCTGTCATCAAACTGCCTGGAGTGAGTACAACATTAAAATAGAGCAGCACATAGGCTAGGCTAGCAGGAAGAACTGGTTGCTGCATGTACTCCTTCCATCCAAGTTTAATAGCTGCCACACCTTTATCCACTGATTCCAGAAAACAGAACCAGTTGGGAACTTAGGACAGTATCAGAAGTATCTTTCGATTACAAAAGAGGTGGTCAGACCTCCTTGTATAAAAGAAATATAAATTTACCTATATCGTTGGTATCAAACAGAGATACTTCTGTAGATGTTCTACAAGAAGTTTGTGAACATTTTGGGCGGTCAAGAACCCCACTCGAAAGCTTGTTGGTCAAACATGTGAGAACAATCTGAGAAATGGAAATTCTTAAGTCAATAATAAAAGTGACAATTTTGAAGCAAAATATTGAAACTGAGTAAGGAGAAGAGAAATTACTGCAAAAGGCAATGACCACACCATCAAACCTCCAGAAAATTTCAAGCATGTTACTGGGTCATATTTTGATAGAAGAATGCCAAATAGTGATGCTCCGGCAATCTGTAAATACAAAGTTATAAATCTCCTCAAGCTTCCCCCAAAAGTATCATCTTTTTTCTTGAAAGTTCTAACCAAAGTAGCATGTACTGGAATTAGCCCGAATATTATCTAGAATAACCATAACCATGTGCCTAGAATTTGTTTAACTCCAAGGAATATTTGCAAATTAAATTTCAAATAAAAGGGCAAATATTTCACCATTGACCACATATGAAAAATCCATGGAGATATTGTTAAAGAATAAATGATCATAAGATTAGAAAATACCTCACAGAGAAGATCAATTCGATTAAGAACAGCATTTGCTTGGGCAAGCGCAATAGGCCTGTTCACTCCTGCCAACTGTTTACACGGGAATGTTTAAGCCAAAGAAAACTTGGAAGGATAAAAACTATGTGTGTGCATGTGTATGAGTATCCTAACGAAACAAGGAAACGTCAAAATAGCAGTACCAGCACCACCCAATCACGCTCCATAGCAATCCCCAATGCTACACCAGATAGCCTCTCCACAGCCCCAGCTAGTACAAGTACAATGAACCAAGGGCGGTGAAGAAGGGATGACACAGAAGGAGGAACAGAATGCGCATAGATTATCAGCGCTGCAGATAATAACTGAGCAGCTGCCTGAATGAAAGAAAACAGTTAGAACACAAAAGTTTGAATATTTGTCCTGCATACATCTTTGGGTGCAGTGCAAACCAAACTACTCACCTGAATAATATTAAGACAGTTATACGCAGGTACCCTGGGGAAATGATCCATAAGTGTGCCAACTAAGGGGCCTCCAGCAATTATCGCAAGCTGTTTAAAATAAATTTGAGCTAGTTAGGAAGTAATGTTTCCTACCGCTTTTTCCTATATACTTAATTTATCTCAATAGCAACCTTACTAAAGAAACCCATAAACGCCACTGGTAGAAGGCTTGGATATATCAATGCGATAGCAGAGGGCCAAGAAAAATTCCAAAATTGCTCCACTAAATTTCCAGCTAGACAACTAGCATAGAGAGCTGAAAAATTATGCCCGTTGGATCAGAAATCACCTCAAGGATTCCAAATCATTCACATCAACTATTTTGTTATTTAAATGACACATCAAAGACAGCTTAGGAAAGATACATTACCATGCTTTACTTGGACTATTGAAGGAAGGCTCTTACCATATAATCCCATTGGATGGGCCGGAGTAGCTGCAAGCGTATGTTGCTCCTCTTTTGATAAAACCTAAGCAAGGGAAAAAAAAATGACATGATAAATCTGACAAGACCTAACAGTAATGCAGTACTGAAGTGTTAATGAAAAAGAAAAAAGAAAAGGTTCATAGACAATCTTGTAACTGACAGGCAGTGTCGTCAAGAGACAATCTACATAAGTATCTTCAGTTAGTAAACTCAAAGATTCGGTCTCAAGCATATCAACAATTGGGACTGAGCAACCAGAGCAACCAGGCTCTGCAACAGATGATTCCTCCTGGACCTCATTGTCAGTAGCCACGTGGTTGAAGTGTACATCGGTGTTGGTTATTGAACACCTTGAACTAAAACTGTCGAATCTGTTATCCAAGGCACAGGAAAAGCAACACTGTTAATATAAACACAAGATTCGTAGTGTTTTTTCGATTACAATGTTGCCATTGCTTTAAAAAATTTGAACTCAACTCTTGAAAGGGTGTCCACCTATTTATTTTATACAAACTTAAAAAAACACCTTGATAGATACCATTAAGTACAAGTCCCACTAAGATATAACAATCCAAATTCAAACTTCCTGCCCTTCTAGTTTCTCTTATTTTCCCTACTCATCCCATTCTCCTTCACTTTTCATCAATCTAACAAGCTTATCATGAACTTGATTACATCTTTGATTACCAAACCAATTGAAGTAAAACATTTCAAAATTCCATAACTTTCTTCCATTTTCTTTCACTTTCACAAGCAAACCAAATGACATACAAACCAAAAGCACAAAGCTTACCTCTGAGAACCCACAGAAAGGTGCCTCAAGCCCAACCATCTGCCAGAATCAATTCGATAGCGAATTCGAGAGGAAGGCCGTGGTTGCCTCGATGAAACAGAAGCCCGGTAAGCAGGGAATAAACTAGTAGATGAATTTAAGGAGAGAGAATACTGTGAGAGAGTAACCCCAAAACCGCTACCCGAAGCCATTGATTCTGTTGGCTCCAAGGCTTCAAATCCCAGTTGGGTTCTTGCCCACTCATGCAGCCTCCACAACTAAGCTACCGTTTTGCTCAGTTTCCCAAATTTTCTCAGAAAATCACAGAGGGCACCTCGCAAAATTTAAAAAGAAGCTTAAAGTATGGTCTTTTTGGGTTAATTTTTTTCTGGATTGTAATTCAAAAGATAGGAACTTGGTTCAGATAAATCAAGATTTTTCTGATGTTTTGGGTTTGACTTGCAGAATTGTAGCCAATAACAGACGGGTTCCTCTCAGACTCCATGAACTACGAAGAAAAAATGGGTTTTGGGGGGTGGAATTTATGTGGGTAAATTGAAGGAGAGGGGTTTGGTGATAAAAAGTTGATCACTTGAATAATTTTATGGGGGCATATTTTTTGTGGGTTTTAGCTTGGTTTCATGGCCTTATCCATGCCTGGTGTTTTCTGAGTCCGCCGGTTAGCGGAGAGTTCAAAGTGGTCTTGTTATGTCGCACTGTTTGTGGCTGTAAAATTTCATGGGTGAAAAGAGTTTGAAGGTGTGGGGTTGGGGTTATGGCCCTTATGAGCCATGAGCGTGGAGTCCAACCTCACGCCGTGGACCCATATATGGTCACTTTGCACTATGAATAATCCAGTTTTATACGTAAGCATTAGGAACATGAGTCGTGTCGTCAACTCACTATTAACACAAAAGGACATTTATAACGCTAAATAAGATATAACATGTTTAAAGTTTACCATGATCGGCATTTTAAAAGTACGTGCAACCAGGTGCGGATGGAAATACAAATCGTCTGAGTTCAGAAAATATACATATGATGGTTTTTTGAGGATCTTTCAAATGTTTGGTATGAGTCCTTTTTGTGTTCACTAAATGTTTAATGTAATGCATGCTAAACATATTTCGACATGTTGCATCGACAATACTCGACAAATTCTTTTTATATCACTCATCATATTGCTTCGGCATATGCTGATATCTATTAACATGTGCACAACAAGCCTAATAAGTGAATGAACTGATTTTTTTTTATGCGCGCTTCGCACTTTGTTCCTATCTAAAAAACTTGTATTTAACATTGGGACTCCCAAAATTCAAATCTTAGATTCGCCACTACGTGGAACGACCTATTATATATTATTGTACTAATGCATTTTACCACTTTTTAGCATAGCACATTTTGATTTTCATCACGAAGAATGTGTAAGGTTGCGGTTGGTACATGAAATGTGGAAGAAATTCATGTTTCTTGTTGGTTAGGAAAAAAGAAATCAACAAATAACGCCATTTAATAAAATAAAAAAAGAAGAAAAACAAAAAGCCAAATGAAACATAACAATGTAACAGCATAGTTAATTTAATTTGCACATAGTCATATAACACTAACAAGATGTCACATAATTTAAAGTAACATCTAAAAGAAATTCAGATAACATTCCATAAACCACATAATAATACATGTATTTTTTTATGTGGTTCAGAAGATTGAAGTAATGAGAAATAACAAGAATTGAATCATTATTGATACAAGGGGCCTTTAATTTTAATTTGCTTAAAAGGCATTTTATTCAAGGACCTTTAAAAGTGCTCATTTTAGACAATGTTTGTGTCTCCTATAGGAAAATTACTTGTCATTTGCTTATGATTAATGTGTTTTTACCATACGAACATTATAAACAAATCATTCATACTCTTTATCATCATCTAAAGATTATATTTACAAAAAATATTTCAATTTAGAGATCATTTAGACACTCATACACATAAAACAAATAAACGGTTCATCATAAATATGCTATTTGTAATTTGTAACCAACCATCAATCGTATACTATACAATCAATTTTTATTATATTTAATTTTAAATAAAAAATTTATAATGATTTCTAACCACATCCGATTCTCCGACCCTCCCGAGTGTATATACACAAGTTAATCCATCTTGCAGCAACATGTGCATAATCTGCATGTCTATATGTCGACATCTGGCTTCTCGTTTCGGGAAATGTACAACTGGAGTTGAGTGGAATCCATTAAAGTCAAGCTCTCTCTCCTTTCTCTCTCTCTCTCTCTCTCTCTCTCTCTAAACATGGAAGCAAGTGAGAGCGAGAAACAGAACATGAATTGCAATGTGACAGTTTCTGAGTCTGATGGGAAGAGCTTGCTGGAGAACTCGGAGATTGACAGCTTCTATCAGAGACTCAATAAGCTGCATACTTCATCTGGGCTCAACCTTGTGTGAGTTTTGCTATTTTTTCATTTTTTTTTTGTAGTTTTGGGCTTCTAAGTTTTCTTTTCTTTTTTTTTTCTCTCTGTTTTTCTTATTATTTGCTCAAGTGGGTTCAAGCAAGGATTTTCATGATGGGTTTTGTCCACACAAACACACAGATATGCATATATGTACATGCATGCATGCATGCATGCCATGTTTGGTATTTGAGAAAATTGTGGGGAAGAAAAAAGCAAAAGTTAGAATCTTTGTTCACAAGAAGCAAAGTCGGAACTTTCTAATTCCTAAATCAGAAGCTGCATGTTAAACCTCCTTTTACTTACTTATGCATGTGGAATATTTGGGGAGCTTCTGTGATTGGAATGGTGAATACTGGTTCAGTTAATTTAACCTGTTCCCGGTTGGCGATATCTTTTTGGTTGCACTGTGCAGTTTTGATCTCAGACAATCAATGCTGGACTTGCATTTGTGTTACAAAGAAGTTACTGCAAGAGGAGGGTTTCTTCAGGTAGTTTGTTTCCAATCATTTGACGATGGTTTCGTATTAATGTAGTGAAAACCAAAAAGAGAGTCCATTACCTCGTTCGTGTTTTATCAGATGTTCCAAAAGGGACTAATAATTTGTTTACTTTGATTGTGTTGATTTTGAATCATGGAACGATAAGTTTTCGAAGTTCTGAGCTTCCAGATTTGGGATTATCTAGTTGAAATTAGAATGTCTTGGTTGTTTAGGAGAGAACATGAATTGTTGAAGTGCTTAGCAGCGCGTTCCTATGCAGTTACGGAATCATTTATTAGATGAAGTGGTTTTCAACTTTTCACCTTAAAATTTGAAGGGATGAAGTTGCAGCACAAGATATTAACTAGACCTATAACGGTTACTTTCCAGGTTACCGCTGATGAGAGATGGGGCGAAGTTGCACTCGCCTTAAAATTGGATTGTGACAGTCTGCAGGATTCTCAACCTCTCTTAAACCTTTACGCACTCGTTCTCTACCAGTATGAAAAACTTTACTACTACAGGGAACCTCAAGCGAAAGCTGCTTTTACTCTAGGTAGAGTAGCGAAATGCATGTTTTCAATATGTTTGTATTACCTTTGTTTTTCTGATTAGGATAAAAATATCAGGTCATGCTTTTTATAATATTGGGGATGTCTCAGCAATGGAAGGGCAGTGTAGGGATTATTCATCTCAGATGTTACCAAATCTTGAAAATTCTCATGTGGAGAAGACGACGCGCAAAGAGAATTGTCAGCCAATAGGTATGTCACAGTTGCTTACTTGGTTGATTGAATTCAGCAAACTAAAAACATGACATGTTGCAGTTGTACATTTAGTGGTTATCAAACTTCTGAAGGAACAGAGAAGGTCGTGGGGCCGATTGTTTTCTTTGTGATGCAAAATTGTGAATTCAGCAAACTAAAACATTACATGTAGGAAATTTGATTAGGTTCTACATCTGCAGAACAGAAGCAGTTCCCCCAGCTGCACTCCCAGAAAAAAGAGATGAAAAAACGTGGCGGTTTTCCACGAGGGACACAAAGTGCTTATACTATCTTCCTCAGGAAAGAATGTGAGCGGTTGAAAAGTTCTGCTCCGGAGCAACTTAAGGGTCGAAGGGTCTTAGACTTGGCCGTCGGTGCATGGAGGTGCCTCTCTGAGAGTGAGAAACAGGTAGAGTTACTCAACTTTTACATAGTCTACGTTAATGTTCAGCCACTTGGTTGCATTCGTTTTTACGTGCTTCGTGGTATGCTATTTTATTCCCTTGAAGCTTTCAAACTGTGCAATCAGTATCTTTTATGATCTACTTATGTTCGGGTCCAGTGTTTATTTGCTTAAACTGAGTCTGGAAGCAAAGTTAACAAGAACTTGTGCATTTGATTCCCAAAATTTTATATTAAACTAGTCCTCATTTAGTGTTGAAATTTTAAAAACGTATTTTTCCTAATACCGCACTTCAAGGACAATCAGTAATTTATCAAGTGGACAATGTTCGGCGGCATGACTATTTAAACACAGGCTGATTATTCCTTTCTTTCTGCAACTAATGTCCTTCCTCTGAGTGTCGGTATGTGTAATTGTGTTTATTTTTTTTCCTTGCAGCCATATATTGAGGCAAGTAAGAGGGTTAAAGAAAAAAGAGTGGCCCAAGAAATGACGGGTGATGAGGAAAACCAGGGCATGCAAAATGCAGAAAGAGGAAAGAAGCCTTCATGTTCACGGAATCAGAGCTGCCGCGCGGCTTTGCAGTCTGATAGAGAAAAATCCTGTGTTCAAAATCTGTCAGTGAACTTTCAAGAAAGTCTCCTGGAAGGGATTGACTGGAGTAAGTAATGTGGTTCACCTAAGGACTCAAGAATTTCGGGTGGGGTTTGTTTTTGAAATCGGAGACTCTTTATATTCCGGGGAAGGTAGGTCTTGTACATTTCTTATATATGTTACAATCTTGCCGGTCTTTCGTGTATATTTTGGAAATCCGTTCCCCTGGATGGAAATGTGGTAGCCTAGCCCTTATGTTTTTGGTGGTGAGCGGCTACAGACGGGGTTCGAAAATGCATCCTCAGACCCTTCCCTTAGTGTAAAGAAAGGTTTTTAGCTAATCGTCTTTTGTTTCAACCGCGACTTTTCTTCCATGATATTTCTAAACAATCTCTCTCTCTGAAGAGAATCTTCTCTTCTCAGAGGCATGGAGAATGATCGACTGTGTTTACAAATGTTTGAAATGACAAAGTTGGTTTCGGCACAGATAAAATGCACCGTGTAGAGGACCGATGGATGCACGAGAAACGAGCTTACTGTCGAATTTTGAAATTTTGGTTACAGGTTAGATCATTGTATCCTAGTGGACAAACGCCTATGTAGGTAAGGGCGAACTTTTGTTAAAATGTCTTGAAGCTAAATGGAAAACAAAGAGAGTTCATAGCTTTCAGGCGGAAAACGCTCCAGTCTCGGCAATAATTTCGCTCGTCACTTACTGCCTATCACAATTGGGCCTAGATGTCAATGAGATTTTTTTAAGTCACCAATTTATTACGTGTTAATCGTTTATTAGATGAATAGTGTACTGTTTAAACACGTTTGTAAGCATTTAATAGACGATGATAGTACTCAAAACAAATCTCGGTTGGATGAGAGAATTTCTAAGTAAATCCGTAAGTTAATTAATCCATTTTACATCAACATTCGCATAATCTGCATGTTTGTATGAAGACATCTGGCTTTAGTTTTGGGGATTACAAATGTTGAAGGAGAGCAGAGTGAAGTCATTGAAGTGAAAGCTATCTCTCTGTGCAAACATGAAGGCTGAGACCGAGACACAGATCATGGATTCCAATGCGACGATTTCTGGGGCTGATGGGAAGAGCTTCCTGGAGAACTCTGTGAGTGAAAGCTTCTATCAGAGACTCAACAAGTTGCATAACTCATCTGGCCTGAACCTCCTGTGAGTTTTCTCAAATTTTGAGGGTTTTTGGCTTCTGGGGTTTCCTTGTTTCTCTGTTTTTCTCCCTATTTTATTTCGAAATGTGCCAGAAAGCAATGATTCTCATGATGTGTTTTGTTCATATTATATAGGCTGTGTTTGGTTTTGATAAACTTGGGGGGTAAAAAAAAGCAAAGTGGCAACCTTGTAATTCAAAAATGCGAAGTTGCATGTGGATATATAGGCAGCTTATATATACATACATATATACACACACACATAAATTAACGTATCATATTATTTTAGAAACGAAAGGGTCAGCATTTTGCTAATAAGCCGTTATCTTCTGGCAGCTTTCAGAGCCATTATGTGCGAAAAATGGTGACGTTTTTTTTTCTAGAATTGCATATGCCGCTTAGAATCTGCATCACTTGAAATTACATTTGTTGTACCGTATATTAGGCTTCAATATTGGGACCTCACTGCTTAGCCATGTAAAAGCGGAATGAAATATTGAGGTCCCACTACTTAGCCCATGATGTATGTAAGAGGGGAAGGAAACCCTTATTCTATAAAAGGATCCTTCACCCTCACTTTAGGAGGAGGGCAAAGAGAGCAAATCCTAGCCTCTATAGCCTCCATGTACATTGTAACTCTCAATTTACATAGTGAAACTGGATCGACAACAGTGTGAACGTAGCCCCAACTTAGGATGAACCACATTATATATTTGTATTTTTGTGCGTTTGTGTGATTTACGGTCGGATTTACGTTGTTCCAAAGTCTCACTGATTTTGTGCATCAACAACATTATAATCTTGTAAATACCATGGAAAATCAGAAAGTGAGACTCGGTTTTATTCCTTATCAGTAACAAGCTTCGGTTTAAAGTTCTCTCTCTTTATTTGTACAAGAAAATTTTTCATAGCTGATACAAACAAGAGTCTCATCAGATATCTAGACAAGGAAGAAGCTGAACTTCTTTCTGGAGCTGAAAGGGGTTCGGCCTCCTGTAGCAAAACACAAATCTTTGAAACGCCTCAGAAGACGATCATCAGCTGACACACAGACCGTTACAGTTGATGGCGGTCCGTATCCAACGAGGGTAACCTGTCTATTAAAATATCAGTAACCGAAGGGTATCATTTTTCAAAGGTCCCCAATCCTCTCTTCATTTCAAAGAACTTGTAGCTTTCAACTTACTACTACTGTTTCGCAGTGGTTTCTCATCCTATTTGTCAAATTTTCTGGTGTTGCATGGCCCTTTCCGTATTTGTCACGTAAAGATTCTAAATGCAGGAAGCTCGCAGTAAGTTTAGCGTCGAAACTGAGCCTGAAACCACGGTTTCCATTGATCCCGTGGATGGATATCTTAGTCCAGAAGGATCAGCAATTCTTCATTTCAAGAGACCCTCACCCTCAGCTTCAACGGGGGAGAATAAATTGCAAGGTAACGCTTATTTTCGCGTACAAACCAATCAGGTCTGCCAAAACAATCGAATTGCACGAGCTGTTTCAACAAATGTGAATTGAATCAAACTTTGCTTGTCTTGCAGATTTACTATTGCAAGGAAGATGAGGTCCGGTTGTATCAATCGTTATTATTCCAAGCACCCCTCCGAGAGGAAATTGCAGGATCGTGTAAACTTTAGGTGGTTATATAATTAAAACATAAACAAGGAGTTGGCTGACTTGATCGTAAAACAATAGCCATTGGATGCCAAGCACAATGATGTCGATGCAACAACACCAAAGTCTTCTACAAAGCATCTAACCGTATACAACTACTTTATGGGAATCGTTTATTGTGTGTCTAGGGTTTGCATGGACCTTAGTATTTATACTGGTTAAGGTATTAAGATTCTGTCCATAAAGGAATCCCAAATCTCACATTTTTAGCCTATCAGTTAGGTGTCATAATCAGATAAAATCAAGAATATTACAAGACACCTAATATAAGATTGATATCTTTAGGAAATCAAATCACAATATCTACATTAATCTTCAATATTACATTCCTATTATATGTTGTAGACGATTTAGGGTTGATTTACATCGGAATAAATCCAACATATCTAACCCAGAAGAAAGCGCACTTGCATGTTATTGCATCAAAACATATAAATGTTGACTAATCTGACTAACATGGAACTTGGTCATACGTTGTAAAGCCAAAAACTTGAAAAAGCAGCTTACAGCTACCGGATGCGCGCTGACATTATCTCCTACAATTATTTGTTCACCGTGATGGCAATATCTCCTACAATTTTTTGTTCACCGCGAAAATTGGATACCAAATTACACATAGCAGCTATAGTTACTAAAAAGTATAAAACAGTTTTGCCCTAACTAAAGCATGAGATTTCCTAATTGTGTTTCTTCTTTTACATCATTATCATTATTGTTAAAGAGTCTTGCTTCTAACTAAACAACCGTCCATGTGACCGACCATCCACGAGCATGTAGCCCGTGTGACCAGATTGTCAACCGTTGATGCATGTGAACAATATTATCGAACCCAAGCCTGTGCTTAGTTGTTATTTGTTGTCATTAGTTTAACATAAAACACCATGATTATGGTTCTTGGGACAAGCAATGGATGGATTGCTCACTAAGACACGCACACTCGTGCGCACCTGTCTCCATTTGATCAAATGATGAAAGTGTGATCACTAATGAGGATTAGGCACCTAATTAGGGTACCCGGAAAACCAAATATAATTATTTAGGTTAGAATCAATCTTTGACAAAAGCTCTTAAGACTTAACCAAATCATGTGAATATGGACCATGTTTGTTTAATCAAATTAGATTAAATAATCACTCGCATTATAATATTAGAAGAGATGACAACTTAAAACGCGCTTCTGCCACCAAATTCCATGTTTATCTTCTTCCCAACATTGTTGTCTGAGTGTTGAATATTTAGTCCATTGCACTATCTAATTGGCTCTACCCACCCACTTGTACTAATTTCATCCTAATTTAGTTGTTCAAACATTTGAACTTAATTTTAATTTCGTTTAAAAGATGTGATTATGAGACGGAGGCTTATATCAAAAGGGATAGAGAAATACCTAGAAAGACTTTAAAAGAGATTTTAAGAAAAGATATGAAATACTTGAAGTTAACGGAAGACATGGCGCAAAACCGAGTGCAGCGCCATTCGATGATTCATACAGTCGACCTCACTTAGCTAGTGGAATAAGACTTAGTTGTTGTACTTCAAATTAGGGTTGTTCATAAAATAAGCATCTCAAAACTTCTACTCGTGTCACAAAAACTTACAATACAATTTTGAAGAGAAAAGAAAAACTCATGATGGACTCAATTGTTGTTAGACCTAACTATTACTTAGCTCAACACTAACAATTGATGATAAGTGGGGATGAACAAGAGCTGCTAGATTTTCATTTGAAATATCTTCTTGTCAGAACAGACTCCTTAACTTCGGAAATACCTTACCAAGATCCCAAATCCCAAATGGGTGATTAGAGGTGGAAACAAAGCTAGGATTCAATAAACAATGATTGAAGTAACAAGACTAAAGATGTGATAGTTTTTTTTTATTTTTTATAACAGTTAATTCTTAAAGTGTCTCTCATTAGCATTAACAACTGTGAGAATGAACTCTTCAACTGCCTCTCTTACTAATTAATCTATAAGAGTTGAAGTCTTCAAGTTTCATGATTTTCCCCAAGACAACCAAATGGAGGCTTGACCAGCAAGTTTGATTCAGATTGGAAATGCAGCTACATTAATTGTATCAAAGTCAAAAACCTAACAATTTAGAAAAACATCCCCCCGTGACAGATGAAACCAAAGAGATATAGAGTTTGCTTGTCAAATTAAACATCATAATTATTGATTAATGAGAAAAAAATATAATTAAAAAAACTGAATGACAAAGATTTTTAATAATAAATTGAAGAAACCCATGTTAGGGAGCAAGGCTGCACCAAAACCAATCAGGGGTTTCCTGTCTTATGCAGTCACAGCTCACAGGTCTTTTGGTTCATCTTTGTGATTCAGTTATTTAGTCCCAATCAAATTATTTTATTTAGCGGGGAACACCAAATGAAACCACATTGGCTATTTTTTCAATTAGTTTAGAGAAGGGATAAGTAAGAATATTGCGGAGGATGCAAAGGAAATTGTATAGTGAATTAGCAAATCCACAATAAACTTGTAGCTTAAGTCATTAAAAACAGTTAATTTTGTAATTGAATTTTTATATTCGATGCTCGGATAGTTATTGTTCCTTGATTAACTCGAGAAGACATTATCTCACCGTAGTCAAGGTTGAATCTTTTACCTCATACGACAATTATCATTACTTATTGACCCAAACCTGAGAAGTTTGGGTGAAACTGTCACAGCCCGACCCGGGATGGCTATTTTTTCAATTAGTTTAGAGAAGGGATAAGTAAGAATATTGCGGAGGATGCAAAGGAAATTGTATAGTGAATTAGCAAATCCACAATAAACTTGTAGCTTAAGTCATTAAAAACAATTAATTTTGTAATTGAATTTTTATATTCGATGCTCGGATAGTTATTGTTCCTTGATTAACTCGAGAAGACATTATCTCACCATAGTCAAGGTTGAATCTTTTACCTCATACGACAATTATCATTACTTATTGACCCGAACCTGAGAAGTTTGGGTGAAACTGTCACAGCCCAACCCGGGATGGCTATTTTTTCAATTAGTTTAGAGAAGGGATAAGTAAGAATATTGCGGAGGATGCAAAGGAAATTGTATAGTGAATTAGCAAATCCACAATAAACTTGTAGCTTAAGTCATTAAAAACAGTTAATTTTGTAATTGAATTTTTATATTCGATGCTCGGATAGTTATTGTTCCTTGATTAACTCGAGAAGACATTATCTCACCATAGTCAAGGTTGAATCTTTTACCTCATACGACAATTATCATTACTTATTGACCCGAACCTGAGAAGTTTGGGTGAAACTGTCACATCCCGACCCGTGACGGATCACTTCCCGGACCCGCTCCACCACCGTAGCACGATATTGTCCGCTTTGGGCCCCACCACACCCTCACGGCTTTGTTTCTGGGAACTCACACGAGAACTTCTCGATGGGTCACCCATCCTGGGAATGCTCTCGCGCGCTACTCGCTTAACTTCGGAGTTCCCATGGAACCCGAAGCCAATGAGCTCTCAAAAGGCCTCGTGCTAGGTAGGGATGAGAATATACATATGAGGATTACTCCCCTGGGCGATGTGAGATGTCACAGAAACTAAGTGGAGGTCCAAACCGATTGATGTTGAAGAATTAGCGGATGAATTATGGATAGGGGTAAAATGATACTCGAACCCAAAACTAACTGGTTCTCCCCGAAATGCGTTGATGCGCATCAATTAGCTGGACATCTAGGGGTAAAACATTGTTTCTATGCAGGCTGCTAAAGTGATACCAAATCAAGACAAACTTTGAATACAAAATATGACCTCAAAATAACAGAGGTCAAAGTCGGCTAGTGAGACAATATCAAATCAACTTCATCGTAAAATTCAACGTTGAGTATCATTTTATAACTTAACAGGAAAAAATGAACCTGTCTCACCACAGAGTTATAACTGTTGATGTATAACGTGTATTATTTTATGCTAGAAATTTCCAATCCAAGTGTTTTGCATTGAATTAAACATAAACTAATTTTAATTAAACCCAACTTTTTGGTAATGAGGTCTGTCTCACACAAGGAGACAAGCTTTCTGGCATGTAATTAGTTGGAGGATCTTATTTTTTTTTAGATTGTTTATATCTTCCAATTTGTGAAATCAGGCCCCTTAATGTGCTTACATAACACATGTTCTAGGGTTTAAGATAATCTAATCGATCAAATATTGCTTAATTGATAAGATTAAGTGGAATAATTATTGTTATTAATTAGTAGATGAGATATTTAAATAAATAAATTTAGTAGTGGAAATTAGAGAGGCCGAACTTTGGCACAATGGAAATATTATTCCTGTGTAACAAAAAATCAAGAATTTGGTCTCTTTACAAAATAAAGATAAGATTGTGTACGATAGATTTATGGTTTTGTTAAGTTGGTGTCGCTCATTTTAGCGAGGAAACCACAAAAACAAAAGGAAAAGAGCATGTTGGAAGACGAAGACGTGAGGCAGGCAATGTGGATCGAACCCGGCCACATCCTTAAATTAGGAGGTCGGTCCAAACTCCAAAGCCGCTGATAGAAAATTACAAAAATAATGGTCCAGATGATTGAAAGCGCCATCAAAACAACCACATGCCTCTCTCTCTCTCTCTCTCTCTCTCTCTCTCTCTCTCTCTCTCTCTCTCTCTCTCTCTCTCTCTCTCTCTCTCTCTCTCTCTCTCTCTCTCTCTCTCTCTCTCTCTCTCTCTCTCTCTCTATTTGGGCATTACCCACTAATCATTGCTAAGCTAAAAGACAAATTCCATTTGTCCCCAAAGCCAGTTGATGGAAGCCAACACATTTGGGTTTTTTAAAATCAGCTATTTCCACATCATCAATCCACCAAAAATAAATCCATAAATAAAAACCGAATATATTTTCTCAAGTATCATCTGTGGATATTTCTTTTTCGTTCTGCAAGCGATATTAGGGAGTGGATAGTTGAACTTAAAATCTTAGCAAATAGAGTGAATGCATTTAACCGGCTGAGCAATACGCATGGTGTATTATCTCAAAGTTTTTAATATTATTTCATTTAACACATAATTAAGTAATTTCTCAATTGACAAAAATATATGATAGTCGCTTTCTGGTTGCTAACAAATTGATATTCACGTATATTATAAAGTTGGATTGTATTCAATTTTAACCGTTGTAACCGTGTTGTTATCATATCTACCTCGAATTAATCAATACGCAAAACGATATAACAATAATGATGCATTAACTCATATTTATTTATTGCCAAAATGAGAACAATTATATATCTATATCCAAATGGATTTCAAGTTATAACGTATAATGTTCGAGATTGTCACCCCAAATAAACTACTATACTATATCAGTCAAGACATGGAACTATTTAAGATTTTATTGATTTAACACATTCGAAATTTTAAAAAGTGGACTTAGTGGAAGATTGCAAATATTATAACAAAAGAAGACATGCCGGCCTTGCAAGACAAGAATCACGACGACCAGACAGACCCATGTTTTTTGGCAAATTTTCCGGTGACACGTTGCCCCGTGGATTGAAGCTTTCACTCTATGATTTGGTAAATTTCAAAGTGCATTTATAATATAGGGCGAACTCAGGTGGAAGGTAAAACATCTATCGTACTTGACAATTGACATTATTTTCACTTTACAAATAGAATGTTTTCATGACTTAAACTTGTGACTATTTGATCGCTAAAAAACAATTTTTCCGTTGTGTCAAAACTTACTCACAAAGTGAATATAACATTTTTGGTAAAAAAATTTATTGGAATTCAATGCGGCACGTTTGAAATGCATTTTATATTTTCTTAAGAGACGTGAGGATATGTTTCACCTGCCAGGGTGACGTACAACTCAAAACATTTATATCACAAAACACATTTCCAACTCTGTTTAGACCGAAAAATATTTTGGTGTGCCAAAAAAATAACTCGATACATTAAGTGTAATTTAATACAATTGGACGGAAATTTTAAGAAAACAATTCCAACCAATTGTAGTATGAGACTGGTGTACGGAGCCATGATCTCGGCACAATGAAAGTTTATCTGCTTTAGACTTTAGTTGCATCTAATGAAGGTTTACCTGCTGTAGTTGACCTAATTAATTTTTTAGTTTTCTCATTTCTCATTTTTTTTTATACATAAGCAATATCAGAAAAGAGAGAAACGCATGACATAATTCGAATGCATGAGCATATACTTTCAACCATTTAGAATCGGTTTGAGATTGCTTATGTAGAAAGTTTTTTTTTATTTTTTATTTTTATAATAAGGATGTTAAAAGTTTTATAGATCAAATACCGTTTTTACGATTAATAAGCAATTTTAAGCATTTAAGCATTTATGTCAAACATAGTTACACAAACACAACTATGCTAGATTTGTAAGAGTGGGGAGTCCACAATATAAGTACTTATACAAAAATACGTCATTGCTTTCGGTTGTTAAGAAGCATTTTTAGTTTTCAAAAACAATTTTCAAACGGAGTCTTAAACTACAAACCCATTAAATTTATTTTAATCGTTTTATGTGAATTTTGTGAATCACACGCAAATAAATGTCGCGTTCATTTAATTGAAAGTGAAATAACCCAACATTCACTATTAGAAAAACAAAACTAAAGAGCCCACAAAACATTGTCCGATTGATGAAGATTGCACATGTTCCCAATCACCAGCATGTTCAACGGGGAGGGTCTCTTTTGTTCTTTACTACTAGTGCTCTATTATTTTTCCAATCAAACTTCAGCGTTACGCTGCTAATTCATCCCAACGTCTTTTTCTTTTTCTTTTTTAAATTTAATATTATTAAGAGGAGGAATGAGACTCAACTCGACTCTATTATAATAATTAAGGGAATGAGAGAGTTTCGAACACAGAACGTATAGGTGAAAACACAATACACTATCCAGTATGATATTGAACCATATGCACATCATCCCCATGTTTCATAACTTCCCATTTACCAATTTACTTGTTTATTGTTCCTAATATTATTAAAACAGATTAAATCCCAATGAACATCTAGAAATATTTCTTTCAAATATGAAAATGAATTAAAAGAGAAAAAGAAAATTGCGAAGGCTAATGTTCTAAACGTAGCCTTACTACATCCTAGTCGGGACACTCTCACAAAAGCATAAAACTCTCATATATTTTAATCTCATTTGATTCTGTGTCGTTCTCAGTTCTCACCCTATTTGAGAGATATTATGGTTAGGAACAATAAAAGACGGAAATTTAACTTCTGTTACATTAGTCATTAAATAATTAAACTTTGTTTTACAGGGTAATATGATAGGTGACTGAGGTACGTTCTGATGTCACGTATAAAATTACTGAAATAAAAAAAAATTAAAATAACTGGTGATTAAGATGTTGAGGTTCTATCCAAGCATTCAGAGTTCAAAATTCTTATCTTTGAATTATTATTATAATTTTGTGCCATTTTCCCTTAATAATAATTAATAAATAAATATTTTAAAAATGCCCAAAATAAATACTCTGAATGAAAAGGAGAGGAAAAAAAAAAAAAAAGAGTGAGAGAGAGAGAAAAGAATAGAAAGGTAGAGGGAAAAAGGAGGAAGAGGGCGGCAATAAATGTGATTAAGGTAACACCGCGTTGTTCCCGTGAACTGCTTTTATATTCACTCTCAAGCCCTTCCCACTCTCTCCCATTCCCATTTCTCCTCTCTCCCTCCCCCCAACCCAACACCCCCCCCCCCCCCTCTCTCTCTCAAAACCTCCACCCAAACAAACAACTCAAACTCCGCTCTCTTTTTATCACTTATCAGGTATATAGATACAATCCTACATGTGTGTGTGTGTAAATATGATTTGTTCATCTTCTTGTTTTCATCATCGTAATATAACAATCGTTTTGTATGATTATATTTGCAGGTGTGTGTGTATATATATCGGTGATTGTTGAATTGCACTCTCAACATATTTCAATATCTTCTTCCATGGCGGCGTCGATGATGTCGAACTTTGACGGAAGCCTGGACGCGTTGTCGATGGAGTCGAGCCGGAAAAAGCGGAGAAAAACCGGAGTCGTTGAAGAGGATCACAATCGGAGCTCAGAAACCGGAGTCCGATGGAGATCCGAGACGGAGCAGCGGATCTACTCGACGAAGCTCGCGGAGGCACTTCGTCAGGTGCGACGGAGATCGTCTACGTCGTCGGCGGCGGTGGCGAAGGTAGCGGGAGGCGGGAGGGACGTGAAGGAAGCGGCGGACCGCGTTCTGGCGACGGCGGCGAAGGGGACGACTCGGTGGAGCAGGGCGATTCTAACGGCTCGTCTCAGGATAAGCAAAACGATTCACAAGAAAAGAAAGGCGAGGGTGACCGGGGACAACAGGTTGAAGAAAACGGAGGTTAGGAGAGAGAGAATAATGTTACCAGTTGTGCAGAAAAAAGTTCGGGTTCTGAGCCGGTTGGTTCCCGGTTGCCGAAAGACGTCGCTGCCAAACCTTCTAGAAGAAACGACCGATTACATAGCGGCTTTGAAGATGCAGGTCAGAGCCATGGCGGCTCTCGCCGAGTTACTTTCCGGTTCGCCGGTGAACCGTCCCGGTTCGAGTGTCAACAGTTGACGCTGAGAGCCGGCCGCCTCGGGTTATTGTGCCAGGTGTTTTTTCCATTTTGTAATATTTATAAATATTTTAATCTTATGAAAATTTTATTTTCTTGTATTTTATTGTATACGTAGCTTTTTCTTTTCTTCATTGCCCCGCTATCATTTTTTTTCTTTTTATTTTTTAACCGTTAATTTATTGAGTTGATGGAGTATGCCACCTAATTTATTCTCATTTATCAACAAACACTGCTAATTAAACAGCGTGCTTCCGGCTTCTAATTTTTGTCGTTTGCTTTTAAAATTGTTATTAGCGTTTGAAAATATCCGTGCCTATTTTTATTTTCTTTTTTAAATTAAATTTTTTTTTTACCATATTTCTTAGATATGTGCAATTTTTAAAATATAGGCATTGGTGAAATTATCTATATGCAAATTTATGAAAATATCAATGGATATATCGATATCAATTTCGATATCGGTTGCTTTCAATGAAAATGATGAAAATTTAAAACGAAACTTTAGGGAATGTCAAGCACTCGTTTTGATGAAATATAAGATAATAAGAGTTTATCTGATATTTAATTGATATGTCGGAAATATTAACGAAATCTGTCGATTTTAGCCAAAATTTAAGAGTTTTTATGGTATGTAGTGAAGTTTAGACTTCAGTCCCTTCTATGTCTTTCTCTGATTTTCAAATATTTTCATGGAAATATCGACTATGTCGAAGAAATTTCAAACATTGGATACATGGGGATCATGCTTCATTTTACTAAACTTCAAATAATTAGTCTTCTTTAATTTAAATTAGTGTAGAATATTGTTTATGTAAAAAAAAAAAAAAAAAATTCGAACAGGTTATCAACAGAAGTGTGGTTAGTCTTGCGTTTAAATCTCGACTAAACCAAATCTATTGTTTTCTATGCAGAAACAAAAACCATAAAGGAAAAGTGATTAGCTCCTAAGTGCGATTATGACTTATGATGCTACGATTATATTCTCTACTTTACTTTGAAGCTAGGCAAATAATATAAGGGCTAATTTTGGGTACTTAGAGCAGTGTGGTGCAATTATAAGTCGAATTTTCTTCTATGTGGTTTAAATTACTTTCGGATAAAAGGAAACGACATGATCAAGGTCTAATTCATTTTGGGTCGATCTTTCCCAAAATGAGAAATTAACCAACATTTTTTTTATTCATTTAGTTTTAAATCAAAGTTGAAAGCAGCTTTGAATCCTTTTGCACTCATGTTCGTATCTCTCATTTCGTTTAGTTTAATGTCAACTATTGCTTTTGTAAAAAGTCTAAGTTGAAACCCAAAATATTGTACAAAATTTACCTTAGTTTTGATTTCAATGAAAATTTGCAAAATGGTAAGTTTGGCTTGTTTGAAGTAAAAAATTGGTCTTCTTGTAAGTTTGTAATCAAATGATGAACTGAAATCGGTTCACCCGACTCCTGACTTTAGAATGTAGAAAATAGAATGTATCTGACAATGTAGTCTAATATCCTAGTTGATAGGCTGTTGGAGTTCCACCTATGTGTCCCGAGTTTGAAACTCCCTTATCCCTTAATTTATTGTTATGGTTTGAAACTCCCCCCCCCCTCCTTTGAATAATAATATGAGGGAGTTTCGAACCCTTCCCCCTATCATATTAGAGTTTTTTTCTATTTTTTTGGTGAATAAATGATATTATCTACACTAAAAAGGTGGGGGAGTGGACTAAGCCTCAAAATGGGTTAGCAACAATGTGGTTCAAATTCGTCTTTGACGAGAATCGAACCTAAAACATCTCACTTATAAGAGAAGAGGAATACACTAGACCGTAGTACTAAATGACAACTATTATATTAGAGTTAAGTACAATGAACTCTCTTACTATTGCGGTCAATTATGTCTTTCCCTTAAGGCCCACCAGATGAATGATGGAGATTAGAGACCATGTATGCTAAATCTCTTCCAAACCTTTCTCCTTTTTACAAAAATGGACCTGCAGCTTAATTGCTTATCGCTTGTATTGTATGGCACTAAAGACTTCTATTTGTCTCATATTCACCGATAAAATCTTTCACTTCAAGCAAGAGTAATGCTCCACGTACCACATTTACTGATTACCTTGCTAATCACTTCTTTAATACACATGAACTCTATTTGTATACATGAAACTCACATGTATTAGAAAGGTGATCAGAAATGTGATCCAAATAGCTACACTCTTCAAAGCAAATAATTTGCAGCTCGGTTAGTAGTAGTCGTCGTCGTCGTCGTCGTCGTCTTTCATGTACCACACGATTATGCATTCGTCTCCTTTCTGACACCGTCCCTTCCAATAATTTAGAAGATAAAGTGAAACTAACTTCAGAAGAAATTAAAAAAAAAAATTTAAGATTTTTTTTTTTTGTTGTGGGGGGGGGGGGGGGGGGGGAGGGGGGAATCGCGTTAGTCCCACTTCCACAAAATTGTGGGTCTTACAAGATACAGCCGCACATCATGTGCCTCAGGGACCCTACAATTCCAAGGGCACTGACCCTCCAACAAGTCCAAACCCTAATTCCAAAAAGCATGCATGTGCGTGTAAAACAAACCGTCACATGCTATTTGAAGCAAATGGGATATGCCCTATAACTAAAGGGCAATCAAAAGTATTGCTCCACAAGCATTCAAATGTTTAGTGTGGGGGAATATTTATACAAACATTTTGGTCCCAAACAAGGTTTTATAGGGCATGTCCTACCACCAAAATGTCACTCTTAGACATTTCATATTCCTATTATTGGGAGGGGTTAGCAAGTCTGGTTACGGCTCGAGACACGTGTCGTGTTGCAAATGGAGACGGGACGGAGGCTAGGACCATCCCTATCAAGTTGTACGTGTAGAGATCAAAAGGGTTTATCGAATCAAGGACCACATATTTTGTGTTCTTGTTGGCTTTGCCAATGCATGCTCCGTCTGTTTTATCGAATCACATTATTTGTGTGCTTTTCTTTTCCCCATTTATTTCTTCATTTCAAGCACACACACTATATCCTCACATGCTTCCATGTGCGTTCTTTTAAAACCTATCTTTTTCTTTCCTTTACTTTTGTTTTTTAATTATTATTTTGAGTCCCATGGGTCTACCACACGAGAAATATTTACCTGCGTTATGAGGAAGAGACAATACAAAATGCAACGAGAGTAGCTTAGGGTCTGTCTAATAATAATTTCGTTTTCACTTTTTTTTAAGAAACAAATGAATAAAAATTGAGAACTTATTTAGTAACTGTTAGGGTTAACAAAATTTGGCTTGGTTTTCATTTTTATTTAGACTATTTAAAAAATAAAAAACTAAAATAGTTATAAAATAGACTATTAGCTTATAACTCTAGTGCAGATTAATTAGCACCACTTACAATTTTGAACTCTCATACATCATCTTGGTTCCGTAAATTTAAAAGTGAAACTTAGAGGTATACTTTATGAAACGAATATAACTCTTCGAAGCAGACAGTGGCGTAGTTACATTGACTAGAACATATGTACTATTTTTTACTCACACGACTTTAAATCCTCCTCTTTGCACTTTATAGTAATTTAAAGTAAAATATCGTTTGTATCAAAATTTCGATTAATTTTCCTCTTCCTCTAGCTAGCTAGTTTGCATCGCCACCGTTCATCAAGACTTTAAGATAAATCTTATCCAGAATCTGCAAGGAGAATTAAAGGCCTAATAAAGAATGTCTGACCAATGAAAACTCGTACTATCCATAGAGATATAATATCAATATCATGTAATTTCATGATAGCTGATCGCTCAAATGGTCCAACAATTTGAGCTCAGGAGGGTATGGAGGTCCAAGACATAGCCTTCAAGTTCGGTTTTACAATTTAAATCGCAACACCTGTTCCAACTTGGCATGCAACGTGTCGTTTTCTGGATGGGTACCTGATTATGACATGGATAGTGAATGTGCCAAATTAGCCTGCGCTGGTCACTTGCAGCCAAGTGACATGTCGCCATCGGACCAAATCATCAAATAATGCCCGCATATTCTTCTGCATTATTTTTCTCATATTCTTTTATCATCCTGGTTTCTATCGATCGACAGACCTTGATCAGGTCACATATGCAAACAGTTAAATCAATTTTGGCTTATGCCTCAGCATTATTTGACGTATATAGCTGATTTTATCAGTTGTAAAGTTTTTATTTTTTTAGAAAAATTAGTTTGGAAACTTAGCTGCATTTCTGCATACTTTCTTCCATGTTCAAGAACATATATATATATATATATATATATATATATATATATATCACATCACTTTCAATTCTAATATTTGACATAGCTCTCAAGTTCAATTCAGTTGTATTTGTGACATCCCACATCACCCAGAAGAGTGATCCTTATATGTATATTCCCATCCTTACCTAGCGCGAGGCCTTTTGGGAGCTCACTGGCTTCGGAGTTCATCGGAACTCCAAAGTTAAGCGAGAAGGGGGCTAGAGCAATCCCATGATGGGTGACCCATCGGGAAGTTGCTCGTGAGTTCCCAGAAACAAAACCGTGAGGGCGTGGTCGGGGCCCAAAGCGGACAATATCGTGCTACGGTGGTGGAGTGGGCCCGAGGAGTGGTCCCCCCCCGGGCCAGGATGTGACAATTTGGTATTAGAGCCTAACCCTGGCCGTGGTGTGCCGACGAGGACGTCGGGCCCCTAAGGGGGGTGGATTGTGACATCCCACATCACCCAGGGGAGTGATCCTTATATGTATATTCCCATCCTTACCTAGCACGAGACCTTTTGGGAGCTCACTGTCTTCAGGTTCCATGGGAACTCCGAAGTTAAGCGAGTAGCACGTGAGAGCATTCCCAGGATGGGCGACCCATCGGGAAGTTCTCGTATGAGTTCCCAGAAACAAAACCGTGAGGGTATGGTCGGGGCCCAAAGCGGACAATATCGTGCTACGGTGGTGGAGTGGGCCCAGGAAGTGATCCACCCCTGGCCGGAATGTGACATATTTCTCGTATGCCAATATTTTTGTGAATGCCTTTGTGAATTTGTACATTTAACGTTTAAGATTAGGTTGTTGTTTTAAGTTTGTTTTCTTTGTAAAAGGAGCTAACACTTAAATATTTCATGCGCAATGTATAAAACAAAATATTATGG